GAGAGTTACATCATTCGATTCAGCATGAAAAACTGGGATATTTGTTTTTAATAAAGTCGTGTGAAACATGGTTTTAGGAGATCATCAAAAGTCGAAAAAATGACGAATCTGCCCAAAATCAAATCCGTATTTCGCCATTTTCTGCATACATATCGTTCGATTCAATTTTCAATGCTGATCCCGAATATGACCTTAGTTTTGTCAAAAAGTTGAATTTTGATGGAGAAAATGGCGAAATACGGGTTTGATTTTGGGTAGATTCGTCATTTTTTCGGCTTTTGATGGCCTCCAAAAACCATGTTTCACACAACTTTTTTAAAAACAAATATCATAGATATACACAACTCGGCGAGCTCTTCAAGCTCTACTACGTTATTTCTTGGCGGCTTTTCAAAAAGTATGAAGTGGACGGAGCTGTGTAAAAGCACCCCAACAATAATAGTACTTTGCGAAAATCCATTATTCTGACTACTATTTTGAATCTATAGGACATAGGTGAAAACCCCACTGTGAGGATTACAAGGCATTAGCGCGGGTCTATCTTGCCGGTATAAGGAGTAGCAATATAACCACTTTGACATTGTAATATCGGTGGTAAAGCATAATCAAAACAAACTGGCCATTCAAACAAATTTACAAGTAGCTAGGAATGTCAATCTCAGCATCATTTATACTACTAGTAAACCAAGTTTCCTGAATACAAACAACATCAAGAGGTTTCTCTGAGTCGATTGAGCACTTGACTAGACTTTTCAGAGCGTCAATGTTCGGGTATAAACTCTCAGTATTATGACAAATAAGCGAGAGTTTCTTTTTCACAGAAAGTGCCTTTGGTAATGTACTTGCTTGTGTCTGTATTCCTACTGTAGAGTTTTTGTTGTATCATTCATGTTGCGTCAATTGTTGTTGTTGAAGGAATATTATCAGTCGAACGATGATACAAAAGGGGAATAAGTCCTCATATGCTGTGACTCACACGATGCAACTAAAGTTCTGGATTAACAAAATTATGACATTAGATACTCGAAATATTTATGTATAGGATACTGGAACTCTCAACAGTGCCAATGACATTTTCTTTATCGAAGATCCTCCCCTCCACCGTTTTTGGCCAAAAATCGACTTCAGTTGCTCGCGACAATAGAAGTCCACGGTAGTCTTCTATTATCGAAGGAGGGGTACTAAATACTTAATAATTTTTCACATTAGTACTAAATATCAGTCTTAATTCTTTAGTATCAATATTTTAAGTATATAATATTTGTCAAACGAGCACGTACACGCTGACTTTCAGAAGTGCTCTCTTAAAATAAGATATAAATGAACAATGATGCTTAATAAAAAACATTCAGTCGAAAAGTCTGAAGCCCTTAGAATGAAGACTTAGAATGGCTGAATTCTCGAATAGACAATTCGGGAATTAGTTCACGTATTGAGAATTCGGAGTCTACAGCTATGAAATATGACACCTCTGACCATTTTTTAAATATCTCGAGAACGAAATGTGGTAGAGAGTTCGGGTTTTCACCATTAAAAAGAAGAGACTTTGAGACACATTTTATTAGCAGATATTAATTGGAATATTTTTTTTTAAAGTAGGTTTTCGAGGCCAACCAAGAGATTCTGATCCAGTCAGTTTGTAGAGCTAATCGAGTCACCTACGTAGAAATGTTTTTAGAACTAACAAACAAGTTGTAGTTGAGTTATAAAAAGTTTAATCTCAAGTACAATAAAATATTTGAACTTTCAGCTGTTTTTATCGTAAACCCCTTCCCAGAATAAAAGACAACTGGTCTTCTAGTTTGTTTGGCAAACCATGAATTGACACATTGATTTTATTGCTCTTTTCAGTTTTGCACTTCCACATAAAATTTCCTTTCGAGAGGTTTTATTTTTCAAGAAAATATATTTTTATATTTATTTATTTGCTCTTAGATTTGCATACGCGACTAGTAGTATAGGTCATTCATTTTCATTTAAGTTTTTCCACCTTTATATATATTTATTCTCATCTTATTCCACGTCACTATCTCCATGTGAATCAAAATTATTTTGGATTTTAGAAAAGTTGCAAAATATTTGATTGCTTTCGAAAACTGATACAAGACCGATACAGCACTACCAGTTATGAGCTACAGTTAACTGTAATTGTTGCATCCCTAGTTTTTACTAGTCGAGGTAAATCCGAGCCAAAACTGAAAATCACTATCGACGCTCTTTCTGTAACTTTCAATCGTTTCTTTACTAAGATTAGCTCCACAAAATAATGCACCTTCATACTTTTTTGGGCAGCTAAAGTAGCAAGTCAGTAAGAAGCAAAATGGATTCAGAGTGTCAAGTTTTGTTCCATCATCTTCTTAATCAGTTGAGCCACACGCCTTTTGACAAAAACAAGTGGTGATTCTTCAGCGATATATTCCAGACAGCGGTCAAAAATTGAGCTTGACTTATACCTGACAACGAAAAACGAGAAGGGGGTGGTAATAGTAATGACGGATAGTAGTGTAGTGGTTCTAATAGTAATTCTTGCATTTCTCATTGATTTTCAAAATAATTTTGGTTCACATGGAGATAGTGACGTGGAATAAGATGAGAATAAATATATATAAAGGTGGAAAAACTTGAATGAAAATGAATGACCTATACTACTAGTCGCGTATGCAAATCTGAGAGCAAATAAATAAATATAAAAATATATTTTCTTGAAAATAAAACCTCTTGAAAGGAAATTTTATGTGGAAGTGCAAAAATGAATAATCAGTTCATTACATAAAGTATAATCGGCAAACAAACGTACATTATATAAGCGACTTATTTTAGCATGAACCCTATATTCAGTAAGAAATTTCAAAAAAAGGAGTTACATAAAATAACAAGAATGTGTCGAAAATTTGCATTCGCCAGTTTATCGATCTTCATGATGGTCATTCTCCTAACTGTTATTTCTGAAGCAGAAGGTGAGGGAACTTAGGCGGAGAACTTAGAGAATCAGACTTGAATTCTACCAGAATCTAATTAGAAGTGGACCACATTCTGGCAGAATTACCACAGAATTGAACCAGAATCTGCTAACTCATAGAGAGGATCGGTAAAGAGTTATAATAGTTCACGCTAATCTCACACTTGAGATCCTGTGTACAAATTGCTAAAGTCTGGTTCAGCTTTGCTGTAGTTCTGCCGGATTCTGGTAGGAAGAGAACTGGAGTTGAGTAGAAGGAGGGGGGGCTGAGTTGCATGCGAGTGAGCAGCGATACTCTGTATTCTGCCAATGCTGAAATTTTCCACGGAACTGTGGAAATTGACTCCACTCTTTTTTTGTGGTTTTTGACCTGTTTAGATGGCAATTAAGGTGTGAGCAACAACATTTTTTCCAAATATAATGTATTGAGTAAGGTTAGCGTTAATACACAAGTTCGTCAAGCAATTTGTTCGACTTCCCTGGCTTTTCGGCTTTCTCTTCGGGCCAAGGTAGGCCTTTTAGGCATGAATCTGCTGTTTATGACCGTGTAGCTAGAAGGAAAGATAGGCTAATAAGAGCTGATTGCTTTTATAAGTTATATATGAGATGTTCAATTTAACCTGCCCATTTTACGTTTTATATTTTTTTTCTTGCTTTTTACAACAGAAATACAAGGGTTTCTAATTTTTCTAGCTCGGAAAGTGATCTTACGAACGATTGAATAGAATAGACAGATAAATGAAAGAATTTCTTAGTCACACTATCTTTAAATAAAAAGTTAATAGGGTTTTCTTCTCCAAATTAAGTATGTTGAAAAATGGCAAAAAGAATACGGTGTTTTACAGACCATTTTCTACATGGTATTAGCTATATATATGTCTATGTATATTAATATATATGTATGATAAATCGATAGTTACAACTAGAAGAAATCTAGCAATCGCCCGATTACTACATCGCCACTGTCGTTACACAGTAGTTGCAATCCAGTAAAAACCTAGTAATCTAGATGAATCGGGCGATACTAGATTTTTTTTTTGACGCTTGGGTGTGAAAATAAAAATGACAGTCAACTTTTCTAAAATTGATAATTTTAATAAAAAAAAGATTTTTTTACGCGCGACAAACATAGTCAGTATTTCCGATGTGTTTCTTGAAGATAAAGTCTTCTAGGTTAAGGACCAAAACTTTCTTTTGCACTGCAGGACGTCCTGCCCAGCTAGACAGGGCAGGGTCAAAAAAATGTTATGAGTAATTGTTTGACAGGGCAAGGCAAGACAGGACACGGCGACAGGACAGAGCGAAAAAAGTTGCCCTGCGACGACCACAGGTTTGTATAAGCCTGCATCAGTATCAACATATTCAAGTGTAGAAGGAGCATGATGTAGACCATTGATCGATGCATGGAAAGTTTGAATCAAATGTCACAAAGCTTGAACTTCTCCTGTACGTTCTCGTATGGATCCAGCCGGATCCCTGAACAGCCATGAAGCCTAAAACTGAGAACAGCTGTCAAGGATTACTCATCGACCTTTTTCTAAACGCTAAATGTACAGCATTCAAGCTGGAAAATTTTGGTAAAATACAAGTGATTCACAACAACTATGACGTTTTCGATAACGCTCCGATATTTGTTAAATGTAATTATTTTTTTGTATATACTTTGTTTCTTCTTTTCCCTCTGTAAATCGTTCTTGTTGGTTTGTGTGAAATCAAAGTGATAGCTGTTTGTCACCGTACACTGTTACTGACATACGTTGAAAATAAACAGTAAGTTTTTCTCGTTTTGAGAAAAGTCTAGGAGAGGAGGTAAATAATCATAGTTGATTATCTTAGGGAGAGGAATGGGTTAAAATATTGATTAGGCAACGTATGGATGCAGCGCCAGCATATCTACACATTCTATAGTAACAATTTTTGCTTCTTATGGATCTTTCGTTTTATTTCGTTATTTTTAAGAAACTTGTTTATTCAAAAGTTCTCAACACATATGTATATAGAAAAGAATATTATACGCAGTTTCGAAAGTTGATACTATTGTCTACGGACAATCGTCTTGTCGTCGATATCGATGACTTATTTTTTGTTGACGATGATCTTTTAATACTGGTGTTAGATGACAGGTTGTATCACTGAGATCTTCGCAAAGATAACAGTAATTTCCATCACAATATGTTCCATCATCTTGTTGTACAGGACCATCATGCGGATGAATTAGTTGATGAGTTAGATCACGTTTTTTTCCGTAGGAATTGCAAAATCCTCTTGAACAGTACTTCCATCCTTTGCCTTTCACCCAGTCACATACCCAATAACCACCGTATACTTGAGAAATAATAACGGCTAATAGAAGAACAAGTGTTAATAAAGAAGCCATTTTTACTGGTTTGATCTAAGAAGAAATGATGTTAGCAGCAGGACTTCCTGTAGAATCCGAGCAGAGATATACTAATAGGTTTTGACATACATCATTTCACATTAATTATCTGTTTTTCAACGCTCAGAGCAAAAAACTGAGATGAAGAATTCATAGCACGGAAATGATTATGAATTTTTATACCTTTACATCTACTTGACATACATATATAATTGCTTCAATCAAGATCAGATGGTATACCCAGGTTAAAGAATCTTACTGTGAGATCTTATGAGATTCTTATACGATTCTGCAAGCTTCTGTAAGAAACATAGAAACTGACTGATTCTTGATGTAAGATCTTATAGTGAGGTTTCATCAGATTTCGTGAGATTCTTGTATGATTTTTATAGGATTTTATAAGATCTTGATTAACTGGGTGGATGAACGTAACGTGGGAAGAATAAATGGTTAAAAAGTAAATAAATATGAATCAAATTACTCTGTTTACGTTTTATCCATAAAAATGAGTGTAGTGAAGATACGTAATTATTCTACAAATATCTCTCGGTCTATTTTGAAAAATAGGCAGACACTTATCAGAAATTATGAAATGAATTTAAAATTGGAAAACTCTCTCATATTAAACAGTTTTAAAAAATATCTGTTATTTATCAATAGTCGATTTTTTTGCATATAATCCCTTGATTATTAGTTTGCCTGGAAGAAAAAGATGAAGATACGTCTAGATTCGTAAGAAACTGTGAGCTTTTTTATTAATTATGCATACAATACTATAAGATTGTGAAGATGTTTTGTTTTGTCGATTTAACTGCTTTTTAGAGAAATCGTTTGTCAAAAGAGGATATAGATATTTCCAAGTATAGATAGACAATCAAATAATCCTCTTCGAACAATCACCATGATAACTAAATTTTCTTTCTATTACTAGTTATAATAAGTGTTATTGACTGCTTACCCACCTCCTTTGTTAAATATATGTTCACTATTAAACTGTTTATAAGTCGATTGAGCGATGAAAGTAGTAGAAAAAAAGCGAAAGAGTGAAAAAAAAATGAATACTACTTGTTGGAATAAAAGGAAAACTAGTCAACGGTAGTGTTTTTCCTCATTATACATGATAATAATTGCCTGATCAAAATAAACGGAAGTTGTCGTACTTTTAGGATATAATGAAAATTGAATTTTTTTATTAGTAAAAACAGAACCTGAAGAAATTGTCGTAAGATATATATATATATATACCAATTTTAAGAAAGCAAAAAGAATGATGATAGTGCTACATTTATGGTGTTATTATTGTTGTAATTAATAATAACAGTCATAGAAATAGAAAGACGTATTTATAGACATTGAATTATGGTTATAGTCTTTATGTGTGCCTTTGCATCTGTTCAATTCATAGAAACATGAACAATTTCCTGTGCATGTTTTCCATTGTTCATTTGTCTTTTATCCTTATCAGAAGAATGTTCATTTAAGAAGAAAGAAAAGAGAGATATGTAATACTCAATAACACGTATACAAGTCAAATAATCACACGAGAGAAATTGTTTACAACAAAAAAAGCCATTCAAACTATATAGTTTCATAGAAAAACAATGTTACAAATGTTATTTTAAAATGAGAAGATTCAAAATTTTTCTTCAAATAATTGGAAAAAGTTTTGTTTTAGCAAAAGTACTTTTATAATATCTAAAAAATTTGCATTTTCATGTATACGACAATTGGAATTTTAATGTGGATACATTTGAATGAAACTCCAAATATTCTTTGCTCTTTTCTTGGTCCTGCTAATGTCGGTTAATTTAAACATGTTCAACAAGAAAAACAATAGTTAAACATGATTTCATACAGTTCGTACCAGTTTTACGCTATTCAAATCCGGTGTAAGGTGCCGGTAATTCAAAATTACAGCAAGAATTTTTTTCCGCTGTTTTTGGCATGATTGGGTAGAGCTCATCGAGTTGCATCGGAAAAATACAATCCCACATTTTAAGAAGTCATTTTTTGATGAAAAAATTTAAAAATATCTATTTTTTTGAAAATAAGCAAAAACTAATCTACTTTTTTCTGATTATCCATCGAGAACTGAGTATAAAAAACTGGATTCCAAAATTTTAAAGTTTAAACTGATCGCCAAATCCACGAAACAGGAGCAGAATCATAAAAAAATATCATGTTCGGAATCAGGATCAAAAACGGAATCGATCAATGTGTATCTCTACCCTATCCGAGCATTTTAACTTTTTCACGTTGAAAAATTACTGAGATTTTTACCAAAAACTGAAAATCAACTAAAAAT